TCCAACAAATATTTAACTGTCATACTTTTTCTCCCATTCTCTGGGCAAAGAATTTTAATCTGATAGATTAAATAGAAGAAACCCACAGAGATTCATTGTGTTGCATTAAATGGTTAGACAAATGTCAGTTACGTACTTTTTAAAAAATAACAGATTCTTCTTTTTCACTCTTGCTGACTTCTATGTGCAAATTTACATTCTGGGTATCATGTTCCTTTACAGATCCTTTAAACATGATTAGACATTATTTACCTATGGCATATTTTACAAAGATGATTCTTTTGGTACCATGGGATAAATGAAAGGTAGCATCATTTCACATTTGGCAAGGTTTAACCACAGTGGGTGTCTGCCTCTAACCACTATTTATATGCCACACAAGCAAGTGACTCTTATTTTTACTGCTTACAGAGACTTACGTATTTAAATCTCATACCATTCAAACTTTTATTTAACTGGGCAAATGTATGTTGGTGAAATCACAGTTTATATACTTGTCAAAATCTGCTAAAATATTGGCCAGGCATGGTAACTCATGCCTGTAATCCCAGCACTTTGGGAGTCCAAGGTGGGTGGATCACCTGAGGTCAGGAGTTTGAGACCAGCCTGACCAACATGGTGAAACCCCGTCTCTATGAGACCAGCCTGACCAACATGGCAAAATCCCGTCTCTACTAAAAATACAAAAATTAGCCAGTCACAGGGGCCTGCACCTGTAATCCCAGCTACTTGGGAGGCTGAGGCAGAAGAATCACTTGAATCCGGAAGGGGAAGGTTGCAGTGAGCCAAGATCACGCCACTGCACTCCAGCCTGTGCAACAGAGTGAGACTCCATTTAAAAAAAAAGAAAAAAGAAAAAAGAAATCTGCTAAAACATGGTAAAGGTTTTAAAAGTGTCTCACATACAATTTTATTTATAACCACAGTCATTTAAATACAGAACATATATGAAAAACCAATACACATTCAAATTCTTTTTTTAAAGTATTTAATTCATTTTTTAAAGTATATATTCTGGTCTCCATATAAAATTACTGCACTTACACTCATATAAAATATTCCACATCCATAATTATCACTTAATTAGGAAGAGCAGAGGCTCTGCAGCCAGATGGCTGGAGTTTGAACCTGAGCTCAGCCCCTTACCAGCTTGGAAACATTACTGAATTCCTCTACATCTCTGTACCTGAGGTTTCTGTACTATGAACCATACTATGAACTGAGACTGATGGTGCCTGTCTCATATGAGTAGGAGCATTATATGAGTTGATATAAGTACAGTGCTAAGAACAGTAACTGGTACATGGTAAATAATGGACACGATGGTTTCCATGGTTATTATTGTTGTAATAATTACTACTATTACTACTACTACTACCGTGTTTACCAAAATTTATTTCCTTATGACATTATTTCGTAGAAGATTAACCAAAAACTACGCAACCCTTATTATCAAAATCACTCCAAAGTAAATTCTCTCACTTTCCTGCTAATGAGCTCAGATTAAAAAATTTTTTTTTTTTTTCCTGATACAGGGTCTTAATCTGTCACCCTGGCTGGAGTGCAGTGGTGCTATCACAACTCACTGCAGACTCAACCTCCCTGGGCTCAGATGATCTTCCCATCTCAGCTTTCCAAGTACCTGGAATGACAGGCATGCACCACTGCAGCCAGATAATCTTTACATTTTTTATAGATTCAGAATTTCACCATGTTCCCCAGGCTGGTCTCAAACTCCTGGGCTCAAGCAGTCCACCTGCCTTGGCCTCCCAAAGTGCTAGGATTACAAGTGTGAGCCACCACGCCCAGCAGGTTAAACTATTCAATACTTATTTGATCATCAAAGATCCTGAGGTGACTTAGGGTCATTATAAACATTAATAATCACTGAACTACCCTGCAAATAGGGAGGAATTGGACTAAATATTATTGGCTCTAGAGCCTTCCTTAAAAATGGGCAAGTATGAATGTGTGTGAATGCTTAAGCACGAACATCATATGAGATCACTTTTTCTATTTTCCTCTTTATTCCTTAAGAGATGGGGCTCTACATCAGACAGTTCTAATGTCAAAGTGTCACACTCATTTGGGTTTGAAAAACTGTGTCAGACTATAGTCTGACAAACTTCTATGTACCTTTCTCAGCTAATCTTTCGTGTGTTACTTCAAAGTGAAGAAGGATAAATGAAGTCATTATAGAACAAACTTAAATCCATGCTCCATAAGAAAAGTATAAAATGCTTTGTCTTAAGTTCTTTGGAGAGAAAAGGAGTTGGAAATATAAGATATTCTTCATTTCTATCAGTCTGAGCATCCAGAGAAAATAACCCTCTTTCTCCTTATGCCAAACGGCAATGTGCCCAGCTGAAGAATCTTCTATTATCACACTGAAAACGTCTCTGCCACGACAGTAAAAACAGCACAGGCACCTCGTTAAACACCAGTGCATTCAACCACAGTCTTACTTTCAAGGAGAAGACAGATCACAGAAAAATTATTTGGCTATTTTTAAATATTTAAATAAAAACAGAACTTCCAGCTTCCATTGTATATAAGAAGAATTGCTTGAAATACCTCCATAAACATACACCATGGCATTAAAGGCTATTAATTTTACTGGAAATGAATCATAAGGTACCAAAATGTCTGCACATACAATCAGTGCACATTTCCCATAAAAAGGGGAACAATTTGCATGCATCCTGAAAATACACTTTCCTTAAACAAAATTTTAAATGTCTCAAGTAAATGGAGTGGACAGATTTTTCTTCCAAATACAATGAAGTTAAATAAAACTATGTTTCTTCAGCAATCCATCACTTTGTAGTGATTTTTTTCTAACATACATTTAAAAAAATCTTTTATCCCTCCAAAAACAGATCTGAAATGCAGAGCTCCGCACCAAGCCCCAGGCCAAGGAGTTGCTGAATAGGTTTATCTGGAGTCATGATGGAGACTGTCCCATAAACCCTGTTTGAAGCTGAAGGTCAACAGTAGCGTCACTATCAATAAACACAAATGAGGACATTGGCAAAGTCTCTTACCGACAATTTATGAAATGTCTTAATGACAGAATGAGGAGATTATCTTAAGATGATGATGCTCAACACAGATGCACTGTTTATATGCAGAGAGATTCCTTCATGCCAACTAGTTTAATTTGAAGTTTGATGATTTAGATGTAAATCATATTTCAGTAAGCTAAAACTTAATACTAAGTCAAACAGAGCATGAAATCCTACAGTCTTGGTCGTCCTGGGAGACTTCTTCCTTATCTGTATTCCCTTAGTCAAAAAAAAAAAAAAGCGGTGCTGGGAGTAGGGAGAGCATGGCTCAATTTTCTGAGTATTTGGTCCCTGGACAAGAGACGCTCCATGCCACATCTACACATTAGTCAAGTGACAGTTCTGGCTGCCCGACTCTCCTCGATGTAAGCCCCGCCCATATTCCCCACTCAGACAGATTTTACATCTCTGACACAACGCAAAAGAAGAGACACGATGACTCAGCCTCAGCGTACTATATGCAAATATACCGTGGAAAGGATTTTTAAAATATTTATCTCTGCCAGAGAAAATATGATTTTCCATTACTCCTCTTAACATTGTCACCCTGGACTTACTGCTTATTATGAAATGAGTAACTCTCTGGTTTTTAATCACTGCTGGACATAGCCACTGATATTTATAAAGTCTTCATCCCTTAGTCAGCTGATTAATTTAATAAATATTTACTGAGTGCCTATGATGTGCCAGGTGCCATTTCGTTCACTATGTTACTGACCTGAGGTCACCAGCAACCAGCAATAATACAACAAAAGCATTTCTAAAAGAATTCAACTGCATAATGTTTGGGTTTAAATTATTCTGAGATTAATAAAATGCCTGGGGTGAGCCTGCTCACCCAGATAACTATGGGTTACAAGGGTCTAGCTGTCCCATTGAAACTCATCTTCTCCTGGCTGGATATGGCGATGTCTGTCTGGTGAACATTGTCTGCTCTGAAATAAGTATCAATGGAAACAACTCCAGGTCATGTGCCTAGCTACTACTTCCAGGTCAGAGGCAAAAATTCGAGGAATCAGCCCATGAGCTGGAACTCCTATGGCGCTACTGGGCAAGGAGAACACTGGAGATATCAGTCTCATTTTTCCCTCTTTGTTTCCCAAGACTGAGCTGCTTGCCACTCCTTTGCTTCCAAGACCTCTTTCCTGCCACCCTGCAAAAGTTAAGAAATGTAGCCACTCTCCATTTCAGGGTAAAGACGGGCACCATTAGCAATTCTATCTGGAGTTCATTATGATGAGGTTTTACTCTACTTTCCAAATGACACCCCTGAGAAATTTATAACAATATCCCTTTATGACAAGCCCAATGGATATATCAGTTGAAAAATTTTGCTTGGAAATGTTTTTCTTGAAATGCAGCAATCTTTCTTTTTATGACTCAAAAATGTCACAGGTTAGATCAAAGGATCTAACATAAAATAGAGAGGTTAGAAATGGATACAAGACTTCTCTTCCACATTTCAAGTACAGTGTAACTGTTTAACTGGATTCTAATGGCATCCACTTCAGATATAATGCAACAAAATACCAAACACATGATCAGTTTCCAAGGATTGGATTTCTTGCTTGTTTTCCTTTGCCCACTTTTTCCTTTCTTTCCATCCATAGGAGCACTCAGATGGATATAAATCAAGTGAAAATTTATTTCTAGGCAACTAATTCTGGAAAGAAACAGTGGCTGAGACTTTGGAAATATGTGTTATGATGTTACGAATAAAAGTCGGGACATTATCACTGGATGGAGATAATCATGTGTTGTTCTATTTGTGCTAGTGTTACTTAACCACATGTTCTAAAGTCCTAACCCTTGCTATCTGCCTAAGATCCATGGAGATTTACACAGCCCAAAAACTATTTCAAAGTTTTCTCTAATGACAGTTCACACTTATGCCAGAAACACTGTCCAATTTCATAAGGCACAAAAAATACTCACTTGTTTAGCCTTTGTCTTTGAGATGGTATCAGAGATAGGTTTCTTTCTCTCCTTTACAGCAGTTTTAGAAAATAATTCCTCAAATTCATGACAATCTATGGATGGCTCCTCAATTTTTTCCCAAATAAGTGAAGTACTGGAGTCTCTAAAATTAAGCAAAAGAACAATAAAACAGCCATCAAACTGAACTACATCACAGTAAGCATAAACAGAAAGGAAGAAAGGGAGGGAGGAAAGCCAGCAGGAAGGAGGGAGGGAAAAAGACGAGAGATAAGAAGGAAAGAATATTCTTTTTCTTTAAGACCACCATTTGTTTGATCCACTTATTGGGAAAGTTAAAATACCATCCATGAATGAAATCTTACCCCAGAAATAATTTCCAGAAACCCTCAGTTATCAGGTCACCGTATAAAAACGCAAAAAGAAAACCTATCTCAGCATGGGCTAGGGAGGCAAGAAATGTTTGATATCTCAAAATCCCAACTTGACTTATCACCTCTGCAGATTATTCATGGGTTAAAAAACACACATTTACAAGATGGCATCCTCTGCCTCCTACTGCCTCCCATCACATCACCCCATTGTTATTTGTCTTCTCAGTGACCGCAGATTCATGTAATACCACCTAAAAAGGGTAAACATATTTTTAAAAAAGCAAAGCAATAACAAAACACGAGAACTTCCCGTGTCATATCTGGAGAAATGACTTTGGGGCACAGTTTAAAATGAATCACCCACATACATAAGTGGAGTGGTAATAACACAGAAGACGAACTGAAAAATTAGAAGTCATCACAATATACAGTTTCTTGCCCCCGATATGGTTTAGAGAGTAGACAAATTCATATAAGAAATGAAAACGAACCTGGCAAATACCGTTTCTAAACGCATGCCACACACACAAAGGAAAGTCAAGGAATCATGAAACATTAGAACAAGGCAGGCCAGTGAGGTTTAAAGTGTACGTTTTCCCTGCCACCTACACATTCCACAGCCAAGTATCACAGCATTGTCTCAATGTCTAGGGAACACGGTTCATAGATGATGCATGAATGTATAAAATGCCACCAGAATACCTGGTGGAAAGTATTCTTTTATGATGATTATTCCCAGCTATGATTGTATGACTTTGTGCTGTGTTGCCAATGATTGACAGAAGTGTCATGAAATTTTCAAAACTAAATTATTTCACACTTGGGTGTGGATATGTGTATTTTTGTGTAGCATGTTTCTAAAGAAAGCCTACAAGATGGGATTGTAAAGCAGGGCTGTGCTTTTTTTTTTTTTTTTTTTTTGAGACGGAGTCTCCCTCTGTGGCTCAGGCTGGAGGGTAGTGGCGCGATCTCGGCTCACTGCAAGCTCCGCCTCCCGGGTTCCTGCCATTCTCCTGCCTCAGCCTCCCGACTAGCTGGGACTACAGGCGCCCACCGCCACGCCCGGCTAATTTTTTGCATTTTTAGTAGAGACGGGGTTTCACCGTGTTAGCCAGGATGGTCTCGATCTCCTAACCTCGTGATCCGCCCGCCTCGGCCTCCCAAAGTGCGGGGATTACAGGCGTGAGCCACCACGCCCTGCCCCGGGGCTGTGCATTTTAAAGTGTGCACTAAACCATGCTCCAGAGTCAGTTTACTTAAGAATTTGATTTACATTTTTAAGCTGTGTGTCAGAAATGGAAGCTTGAAGTAGTGAAAGCAAGGAGTAGATTCTTACATGGAAAATAATTTGGCTACAAATTTTTCTGCTTACCTGCCCTCATTCATTTTCCAGAGGGCATAAAAGCATAGTTTCACTGGAATTCAGGCATGAGTCGCAGTCTTACAATTAGATAACAGAGCATGTATGCTAAGAAAAATATATCCCTCAATCTTTAAGAGAGATATCAATAACTATATAGATGGATATACCTACATCTCATACATTGATAAATATATATATTTGTTTTACACCTTTGGTACTTCTGGAGAAAAGCCTAAAGCTTTAAATAGCAAGCTGCTGCACTATATACTGATGTAAAAATCTAGACAAATTTTAGAGCTGTGCTTAAAAATACATTCAACGGTAATTTTCCCGAGTTTGACAATAAACACTTCCCTAATACTGACACACACTATGCAAAGATGAGCTCACTTTCATGTTACCTTTTACTATGCAGTTGAATCCTGGTCCAGTAAAGAGGCTTCATTGGTCGACAAGGCTCTATGGGCTGCTTCCTACTCCCTTTGTCCTGATTCATCCCTAATCCAAACAAGCCACTCGGCAATGGAGGAGGAAGGAATCCACACACCTGTGGGGTTGGTAAAGTGCTACTCCCAACTTGTGGGAGGAGTGGAGGGCCTGATGCAGGAAGCAGAGGGGGCGGTGGGATTCCTGTCCCAGGCGGAGGGGGTGGGGGAGCTGGAGCAGGTGGAATCCCCATACCTGGCAAGGGAGGAGGTGGGGGAATCCCAGCACCAGGTAGGGGGGGCGGAGGAGGTATTCCCATTCC